CGGAGGCCCCGCGCAGGCCCCATCCTGCCGCTGCCTGCTGGCACCCGGGGCTGAGTCACGGCACGTCCGACCGGTTTGGGGGACACCCTTGGGCTCAGCGTGGGAATGTCCTGACCTCAGCACGGCACAGAGCTGGGACTGGCCCCGCCGAGCAGGACCCTCAGCTCCCCAAAACCCAGGGGAGGGGCTTTGCCCTGCGGGGTGTGGGTGCTCCCGGAAAGCTCCCGCTCATTCCCAGTGCCCTGCGTGCCATCCCTGCCGCCCTGAGCGCTGGATTATAAACTAGGTCAGCGGTAGATCCCCAAAAGTGATTGGAATCAGGGAATTGCCACTCCCTGGGGCGAGCCCGGCGGGAGGTTCGCTCCGCTCGACGCCGTTATCGCTGGGCTGGAAGGGAAGGGCTGGTGGAACAGGGACCCCCCGGAATTCCCCGACGGCAGCGCCAGGACCGGGTCCCTCATGGATCCTGGGCATCGGAGCCACGAGGAAGGCACAGGGGCTTGGTCACAAGGCCAGGTCACCCCGTCCGAGGCTCAGGAAAGCGGATGGATGGTGCTGGCACGGCCGGGAACGCTCCGTGCGGAGGAGGCAGCGCCGCGGGGCAGGAAGCGGGACGGCAGCGGGGCAGGAAGGCAGCCCCGGCCCCGGGGCCGGCGGAAGAGCGGCGGGAAGGCTCGAGGGAGGAAGCCTGGCCCCGGCCAGGGGCTGCCCCGGTGCACGTGTGGGGGCAGTGAAACGGGGCCCGGCCGTGCCCGCGGTGGGACCGAAACTCGGCGGTTCCCGGGAGAGCTGCGGGCTGCAAACGCCTCTCGACGCTCCAGGGGCTGCAGGTCCCGGCCTGTCCTGCAGCAGCTGCACGTCGGGACTCGCAGCCTCGTGCTGCAGGGTGGGAGATCCCAAACTCGGGGTGCAGGACCCCCTTCCGGTGGTGGCAGAGGCGGTGCTGCCACTCACAGAGCTCCTGGCTGGGGTCTGACCAAGGATCCAGGACCCCCAGGGGCGTAGGGGTGGGTTTGGAGGGGGACTTACGTTCCTTTGGAGCTCCGTGAGGGTTTGGGGAGCTCAGCCTACACAACGCCCAGCCTGACACCCACCTGGGAGGTGGGCGACCTTCCCGAGCTCTCCCCTCGTCCCAGCTCTTGGGAAACGTCCCAACACTCCCCAAGGTCTCCATTCAGCACCTCCGAGTCCTCGAGCATCCCCAGCCCAGATCACTGGGAATATTTAGCTCAGGCCCGGAGCGATGCCGCTGGAGGGGCCGCGCCCCCGCTGTGCCCACCGTGCCGGGGGTCTCATCCCAGCGTCTCCCAGTGCAGGGGTGGAGC